AGTCTCCTTCTCTGGAGACATTCAAACCCACCTGGACACGTTCCTGTGTGATGTGCTCTGGGTGACCCTGCTCTGGCAGGGGGGGTTGGACTGGGGGATCTTTCCGGGTCCCTTCCAACCCCTGGGGTTCTGTGGTTCTATGATTCTATGAGAGGGGCCCCAGGGATGTGACAGGCGCTGCCGCCCTCTCCCCACAGCTGAAGAAGCTGGACCAGGCCGTGTCCGCAGCTCACACCTTCTTCGTCGCCAACCCGCAGCACCTGCAGATGCGGGAGGACATGGAGAAGTACCGGCGGATGTCGGGGGTCCGGTCCCACAGCTTCCGCGACCTGGAGGCCGCGCCGCACTGGGTGAGGGTTTGGGGCAGGGCCGGGTGCCAGCAGCTCTGGTCCCGTCACAGGGAGCTGTCTGGGGTCTGCAGCTGCTCCCATGCAGGCGCCGTGGCCTGAGACAGGGCCCCCATGCGCTGACTCACAGAACGGCTTGGGTTGGAAGGGACCCTGAAAGATCATCTGGTCCAACCCCCTGCCATGGGCAGGAGCTGCTTCCACTAGGCCAGGTTGTCAGAGCCCCTTCCAGCCTGGCCTTGAACACGTCCCGTGGTGGAGCATCCATAACTTGTCGGGGCAGTATGCTCCAGTGTCTCACCACTCTCTTCACGACTTCCTGTACTCCAGTCTAAATCTGCCCTCTTCCAGTTTAAAACCACTGCCCCTTCCTGTCACCACAGGCCCTGGTCACTCAGCCTTTGTTATAAAGTCCCCTTTATATTTGAATGGCTGCGGGAAGCGCCAGCGTGACACACTTTCAGGTGACAGTTCTGGCAGGCTGCAGCTCCCTGGAGAAGCACATTGGGCTCAAATCCAGAAGATGTGCTGTGGCTGCAAGGTGGGGCATGGTGCATGGTCAGGCGGGCCCCTAGATGTCAGCACTGCCCTGTGAGCCACTCCGAGTCGCAGGGCACCCATGAGTGTCATCCACACTGAGGAGGGACCCGGCTCTGTCCTTCACAGGAAGCCTACGAGGCTGGGCTGCAGCTCTACAATGCAGATGAATATGTGCAGGCTGTGGCCAGGCTGGAAGAGTCGCTCTCAGAAGCGCTGTCAGCTCTGGAGGACTGTCGTGCCCTGTGTGAAGGGCCTCGGGAGGATGAGGATGAAGATGAGGATGAGGAGGAGATGCAGCTTGGCCTGTATGAAGCCATTGCAGGTAGCGTCGGAGGCACAGGAGGCTGGGTGGGAAGGCCATGCTCCCCATTTCCACAGTGCTCCTCTCTGGAAGAAGGTGTGAGGTGCTGCCTTTCTTCCTCCTCTCTCTTGCAGCCCATTATATTCAGGTGTTGAAGTGCAGACAGCAGTGTGTCCTTGAGATTGCCACAAAGCCAGGGCGCCTTTCTGCCACGGAAGATTTCATCCCCTCTCATCTTGATTTACTGCAGTTTGCCTATGATCAAGGTGAGCAGAGCCACAACCTACAGCACCCCTACACTTGTGCTTTGCCTCTGGAGAACAGCATGTCATGGGGAGAAGTGATGCACCGACTTGAGCTCCACCTCTCTCTCCTAGATTCTCCCCCTTGACTCTTTCCAGAACCTCTCTTTCCTCAAGCCTGTGGCCACCGAGGGAGGGGGATCCCACGTGGGAACCTTTCAGTCTTCTTGTGCAGCTTCTGTGTTGTGTGGCTGTTCCCACTTCTTTCCTCCAGCACTCTTCATTTCAAGTCTTGCTCCAACTACCTGCTGTGTGTTTTATACCCTCCTTTTCAGTATGTGGCTCCAAACCAGACCCCCACTTCCTGTCAGAGCATGCACCTGCATCTCATCTCAGCTGTGCTGTTCCTTCTGAACCAGCTCTGCCTGCCCCTGTCAGGACACTGGTCAGCCTGTCACCCAGTCACTCTCACGTGTCCCTCAGCTCTTCTCTTGGATACCTCTGATCCTTCCAACACTGACCCAACTGTCTCTCATTTCCTCTGTCAGAACATTGGTAAAACTTGTCTCTCACCGAAGTCTCCAGACCCCTCATCATGTCTCCTGGGGGAGGGAGGTGGGAGCCTCTTTCTTCCAAATATCTTCCTCCTTTTTTTCTCTCTCCTCTGAACAAGCTCCCAACTAGTATTAAATGGGGTCCCATTCTTCACTGGGCTTATTCCCTATATTCTCTACCCATTGCTGGGCAGAAGACTACCTAGTCAGGGATTGGTGGAAGGCCTCCTACTGCCAGATCCTGATGGGGGCACTGGGTGCCTGTATGTTTGCTGCTAGGATCAAGGCTTTCAGAGACATGTCTGTTCTGTTCTGTCCCCACCCAAGTTGGGAACCAGATGCTAGCTGCTGAATGTGCTGCTTCCTACTTGCTCTTCTATCCCACCGATGAGCCTGTGTTGGAGAAAATGAAACAGTATCGCACAGAACTGGGGGAGGACACGCCTGTCACCGCCAGAGAGGTACTTACAACCCCCCAGGTCTGCACTTCTTGGCCCTCCCCTGACCCATACAGCAGGGTCACAGTTCAGGAGACAAAAAGGAAAATGTGCTTCACTGCAGATGTGTGCCAAGCCCAGGACTGAAGTAACTGGAGCCTGACTTTATAGTCTGTACCAAAGAGGAGTCCCTTCAGGGTAGAACCAGGCTTTCATAGGGCACAGCATGTGTTGGGTTGAGTTTCTGTCCTGGACAGGGGTGGGGTTGCCTTCTGTGGGGTGGTTGTTTGTCAGCCTCTTTTCTTCCTTAGAGTATTCAGCAGTATGTTCAGAGATCTTTGATGGAGAAGAAGTTGATTTATTATGCCGTGGAGCATCTAGGAGGAACTTTCAATGACCCTGTAAGTAATGGTATCATCTTCCTACCCTGAGTTCCCTGAGGAAGTTGCCAATGCACTTCAGTAGCACACGCTCAAGGAAGGATCAGATGCTGATGAGAAGGACCTCCAAGTCCTTATGAAGTGAATTTTTAAGGCTTTTCCACAGCTCCAGGGCTAAAGTTGTTTGGAAATTACTGCTGTAACCATATGCATTAGCCCAGTCTGGCTGTTGTTAGAAGCAGGCCGAAGCCATTGGTTTGATACACACTGGAGAAGGGGCACAAGGAACTGGCTGTTTGACATGTTCTAATGTGGGAGAAGTTTGCTGTGTACTGAGCTGTCTGTGTTTGTTTTGCAGGATCTTTGGACTCCAGATGAGCTGATTCCTGAAAGCCTAAAGGAGAAACACAGGTAAGGTTGGCCAAGTTGACTAGAACTGAAATATAAATGTTGGAAGTAGAGGATGAGGTTGGAATGGTGGTACAAGAGGAATGGGCAAAACAGGAACAGGAAGGGTATGAAGTGCTATCCCAGAGCAGGGTTAGACATAGTTCTGTGTACTGACAGCTCTGGTCTGTGTTTTGCCTTTTGCTCCCAAGAGAGGATCAGGAGAAGCAAAAGCAGGAAAATCTGGACACGGAAGAGAGGGAGAAAAGGGGTGAGTAAAACAGCTTAAAGAAGGACTTGGATGCACTTAGCCAAGCTAAGTGCTGTTCTTTCTTCCATCCTCAGATCCCTGAATGCTAGCATAGATGCCGACTGACTTGAATGGCTCAGCAAGTCTTCTCACTGTTTCTTTTCTCCCTCTTTGATGCATGTATAATCTTGCAAAATCTGGCTGCCTACATCTCTGGGATGGGAACTCAAAGAGCACTGTGGCTGGAGAAGCATTGATGCCTGAATAGAAAAAAAGCCTGTGGACATGCAGATCCCTGTTCAGTGTGGCAGGAGTGTCTACACCCAACCTGGTTCAACTCCACCAGCCCAACTTCAAACAACATTTTTCTGAAGGGGACAAGGAGCGAGGGTGGGAAATGGAAACTGGAAACAGACTATTCAGCTTGGGCAAGTCTTTCCCTGACAAACACAAATCCATATGGTTTGTAGCTGAGTGCTGTAGACTGCAGTGTGGAGTCCTGTGCCCTTTAGCTGGTCCTCTTTTCTTGTGTGTGGACATAGCCTCTTGCAGGGCTCTGTCCTGGAGTCTTTGCCTTAAGTGACTCCAAGTGGTTCTCTGCTGTGACACATGGGAGAGCAGATAATTCTGAAGCCCTGAGGACTTTGGCATTTCTGACCATCTAGAGGTCATATGGGGGAGGAAAAAAAGGCCGAACACTGAAAGACCAAATCACCAACTAATACCCATTGCTTCTCTTTGGGGCTGAATGAAGTAGAAAAATTCACTGGAGATAATTCTGGGACAAGATGGGTGATGGAAAGGAGGGTTGATGAAGGTGTTTACCTGCCTGCTTCTTTTCACCAGAGCTGCACCCCAGTAGGCTGGACCTGTTCTGCTGCTGCAGTCCCTGCAACTTTCCCCATCTCCCTGCTGTTCTCCCAGCAAGCCCCAAGTTTCTGCTGGCTCCTGAAGCACTGGGCCAGCTTCCCCAGCTGTTACTCTGGTTCCCCTGAAGCATGTGAGGGGTGGAAGTGGCCCAGGTCTGTGAGGAATGAGCACTTCTGGGGAACTGTCCTGTCTTCTCAGAGAATGTATAGTGTTTCTCCACTTCCTTATCCAGGGTTGGTGTCTGAGGGCTTTTGTACAAAGCTTGCTCATACCTATCTGTACTTGCTTCTCAACAGGTCCTTTGCCTTTTGAGGGTATTGCTGTCACTATGGATTCCCACCAGATGAATGGAACCCAGAGGGTTGTGTTCGACAGAGTGCTGACAGAATCTGAGTGTAGGGACCTTCTCAGGCTGACAAAGGTAAGCCTGGGTCTTGTAGGAGTTTCTGTACATATACTTCCCTCCTTAGTAGGCAGGGCAGTAGTGTTTCCATGGAGGAGAGATGGCAGCCTAATGTGTGTCATCTATACCCTTCTATTTCAGGCAGCAGGAGAAGCTGGAGATGGCTACCGAGCAAGACGGTCGCCTCACACCCCTCATGAGAGGTTTGAAGGGTTAACTGTTCTGAAGGCCATGCAGGTGAGTGGCTCTGTGAGTCTGCCACCTTCTTCATTGCTCAGAAAGGGTGTTTGCCACCCAAGCATTTTCCTTTGTCAAGTGCACTCTGGATAGAGTCATCGGTGTGTTACCTTCCTCAAGCACATGGATAGTCTCTCCTGACCCTCTTGCTCCAGGGCCATGTTTAGGTGTGTTGTGCAGGGAGGCTTGACAAGTACATTCTCTCCTGAGAGGAAGGATTTGGGGATTGCTGCTTGTTCCTCCTGTGCAGTAATCTTACAGACATGCTTAGCTTTGAATTAGAGAATAAATTAAGGTGGAAGGAGCCTCTGGAGTTCTCTGGTCTGAACCCCTGCTCACAGCATGACTAATTCCAAAGTCAGATGAGATCCCTCAAGGCTTTGCACAGGCGAGTCCTAAACATCTCCAAGGGTGGAGATTCCCCAGGCCTCTCTGGGCACCTGTTTCAGTGTTGTACCACTCTCAGGAGGATTAAATTTTTCTTTATATCTAGCCAAAATTTCCCTTGCTGCATCTTGTGCCTGTAACTCTTGTCTTTCCAGCATGTCCCTCTGAGAAGAGACTGTCTCCTTCTTCTCTAAAATCCCCTTTCAGGTGACAGGAGACCTGTCCTGATCCTCCTTTGGCCTTCTCTTCTGGAGGCTGAAGAAACCCAGCTTCTTCATCCTCTTTTTGTAGGCCACGTGCTCCAACACCCCTGCCTTCCTAAGACCCCTCACTGAACACTCACTCCAGTTTGCTCGTGTCCCTTGTGTACTGAGGGACCCAAAATGATGCTGCATTCCAGAAGTGGCTTCATGTGCTAAGCAGGAGGAAGGAATTGCTGTACTGTACAGTTGTACTCCTGACTTACATTTCCATAAGAAATCATGTGATTTTCTTACCTGTGTGGCCACAGGGCTCTACACAGGTCTCTTCTCCTCTGTTGTGTACGTGTATCATTTCTGAGCACGTCTTCGTGCATAAATATTCTAGCAGGCTTGTTTTTCACTTGTAGCTGGCCCAGAATGGGGACGTGGACTGGAGAGATGCCAAATTACTTCTGCAGGCCAGTGAAAAATCACGGAAAATCATCGAGTCCTATTTTACTCCTGGAAAGAAGCTCCATTTCTCATTCACACACCTTGTGTGCCGCACAGCTGTAGACGGTAAATAATCTTTCACCCTGTCAGTCCCTGGATCCTGGAGAGTCTCTTCAGTCCCAGCCATGTGTTCCCAGGAGACTCTCTTCCTTTTACTCTCACTCTGCCCCTTGCTCTCTGTCTTATTCTTTCTTGAAAATGAAAATGCCCATATTTGGGTTTGTAATTTTCGTTTTCAGAGAAACAGGAAGGTCGCATGGATCTTAGTCATCCTGTTCATGCTGATAATTGTCTCTTGGATCCTGAGGGGCAAGAGTGCTGGAGAGAACCACCTGCCTATGTCTACAGGGACTACAGGTGAGAAAAGAAGGGGACCTGCATTAGATTATGGGGAGATCAGAAGATGAACTCAGCTTACAGAAACCAAAGCCAGCCAGGACTGTGGTGGCAGGCAGGAGGCTGCATCAGTGGCTTCAGAATGAGGTGTGAAACACCTTCCCTAGGCTGGTAAGATCTGCCCTTTCTCCCTCCTCACAGCCAGCATTAACAGAGAGCAGAACAAGGCTGGGGGGCTGCACAAACCAGAACCATGATACCAAATCACAGAATCGTCACGGTTGGAGTGGACCTCTGAGATCACCGAGTCCAACCATCAACACAAAAAAAACCCAAACAAACACAAGTAACCACACACACTCCACCAAAAAGCACCCACAAAAAAACTACAACCTCAGCCAGTAGAGCATGTCCTGAAGTGCCACATCTACACATTTCTTGAACACCTCCAGGGATAGTGACTCCACCACCTCCCTGGGCAGCCTGTTCCAGTGCCTGACCACTCTCAGCAGGGAAATTCTACCTAATGTCCAGTCTAAACCTCCCCTGCCACAACTTCAGGCCATTTCCTCTGGTCCTGTCATTCACCCGGGAGAAGAGGCAAACTCCCACCTCCCTACAACCTCCTTTCAGGTAATTGTAGAGGGCAATTGTAGAGGTCTCCCCTCGGCCTCCTCTTCTCCAAACTAAGCAACCCCAGTTCCCTCAGCTTCTCCTCATAAGACTTGTTTCTCTAGACCCCTCACCAGCTTGGTTCCTCTCCTCTGCACATGCTCCAGCACCTCAATGACTTTCTTGTAGTCAGGGACCCAGCTCTTCCAGTATCCTTTTGAAAAAGGTCCCTGTTCTCCAAACTCCCTGGATCTCTTCTGTATATTTGTGCTGTGGTTATTAGTGAAACTATTGAACAGGATTGGGTTGAGGGGTCCAAGAGTCCCAGCATCCTCTTCCAGGCAAACAGTGCTCCTTTTGGTGCCAGTGGTGCACTAGTCAGTGTGTGCTGTTCATAGAATCATTAAGGTTGGAAAAGACCTCTTAAGATCATCAAGTCCAACCATCAACTCAACACCACCGTGCCAACTAAACCATGTCCTGAAGTGCCACATCTACTTGTTTTTTTTAACATCTCCGGGGATGGTGATTCCACTGCTTCTGTGGGCAGCCTGTTTGATGTTTGACCACTCTTTCAGTAAAGACATTTTTCCTAATACTCAGTCTAAACCTCCCCTAGCACAACTTCAGGCCTCTCGTCCTGTTGCTGGTTATTTAGGGCTTAGAAGAGACTTGGCTGAGAACTAAAATTACTAAAAAAAACATGGCTTCTGTCCTAGCTCAACCCAGGACACATTCTATAAAACTAGTTTTTATCTTAATCTTCCCAGTTCTGAATGGATGCCTCACACTGACTTCATATGAACGTGCACCTCTGTGTGTGAATGAATATTCATCTGTAAAGTTTCCATCAATCACTATATTTCTGAGAGTGAAGCTACTTACAGCCCTTGCTCCTCAAGCTAGACATTTCTTTAGCAGTGATCCAGTGAGAAGTAGCAGTGCTTCCATGCTGTGGACCAGGAATGTCAAGTTTGGAAGAAGGGTTGCTTGGTATCAAGGGTATCTTACACACATCTTGTGAAACCCCACTCAAGTCTGAGGAGGTCACAAGCCTCAAAAAACAAATGCAATCTGAACTCACTGGACAGACAGCACATCTTCTTCCTCTTCCCTGTGTTCCCTAATGATTTCTCGAGTGGCACAGTTCTCAGTATGTTCACCAGAGCCCAAACTGCTGAGGCTGAGAATGTTGTCTTTCCCTGGGAACTCAACTGTTGGATCAGTGACTGTGTGGCTAGCCCAGGCTGTTTTTACTCGCCCCATGTGACATTTTAAGACCATTTTCCATTTACCTCTTGTCCTTCAGTTCTCCTTCTCCTCAAAAACAGAGCCTAAAGCCCTGCAGACTGCTAAGGCGAGGCTAACAGGCCTGTTGATGCTTCAACCACTGTCCCCACCTTCCTGCCCCTTTTTTGTGCCCCGGAGCTATCCTTGTTTTTCTCCAGTAACATTACCACTCTGCCTTCGCAGCCTGGTTAAAACCCCATGGGAGAAGAGCTACAGCTTCCTGGGTTTGAGTTGATGATCCTTCTCTCACTGTCCTTATGTCCTTAATGTTTTGCTTCAGCATCCACAGTGTTGGGTTTTTTTTCTTGCTCCCAATCCCACTGATGAACCTCTCTTATTCCTCTGACATTTTCCATCAGCTTCCTGGAGTACCAAGAGGAACTCAAGTAGTTTGTGTCCCATTCCTTTATTTAGTTGACTGTGGTCTCACATACATTGCACAGAGGCCTCACTATGTCTCTTTGTCTAGCATGACCAAAGAAAAGTATGGTTTTAATTTTCTTTTCTGCATGCACCAAGCCTCTTTTTGACCATTCTTAGCTCAACTTGAAGTTCCTTGACTCTTAAGACATGGCTTTCTTTGCTGATCAGTCTCCTCATCCAAGCTTTGGATTATTCCCAGTCTTAAAATACAACATCCTGCTAGGTCAGAACTGTCTAGGCCAGGGTGTTGCCACAACAGTGCCATAGATAAATGCTGCAGAGGATTCAAACGAACAAACCAGCCAAACAATGAGGACAAGCTAACTCCCTGGCATACTCTCCTAGCCTCCTGTGGCTTGCAGCTCAGGGACCCCCCTGAGCTAGACACTGCTGAACTTAACACCCCCAAATGGATTCTCCTGTCCAAGTCTGCTCACTGGTATTATTCAGGTGCCACTGCCACCTGTCATGAGAAGTGTGGAGAAGCACCTGGGAGGAATGAGCTTCACCATCCAAATGTCCTCTTTCTTTTTGTCCACAGTGGCATTCTCTACCTCAATGATGACTTCCAGGGTGGAGGCCTTTTCTTTACTGAAATGGACACTGTGACTGTCACAGTAAGTCTGGGACTGGCCAAAAGAAAGGAGGGAGGATGGAGGGTGAGACTGAATCTGGGCAGGAGGAAACTAGCTGGTTATTGGACCCCACCACTCCAAAAACAATCCAGTGCTGGTGCTGTGGCACATTCAAATAGGGGCAGCTAAAGGCAAATTGAGACAAATCCCAGAGAGAGGAGAGGTTAACTCCTTCCTAGCTGAGTTGTTCCAGGTTCATCCAGTCTGTGGGTGTCTGTGACCTAGGTTGTCCCTTTGTTTCTCTGTCCCTCCCCAGGGTCTATCTCCCTTACAGACTGCCAGCAGCTGCCTAGCACTTCTCCTCTGCTCCATCATCCCAGAGGCAGTATGACCCCTGTAGAAGCACCACGCACCCCAGGGCAGGGGGCTGCTGGCTTCAGTGTCTCTCCTCTCTCTCCTGGCAGGCTGAGGTGCATCCAAAGTGTGGGAGGCTGGTGGCCTTCAGCTCTGGCAAGGAGAACCCCCACGGTGTGTGGGCCGTGAGCCGCGGGAGACGCTGCGCTGTCGCCCTCTGGTACACACACTCCCCGGAGCACGCTGAGCAGGTAAAGGGCCGTGCTGGAGAAACGGGTATGAGTACTTCCAAGCTAGGTCGTTTCCCTCTGAAGAATGACTTGCGGGCTTTCCCATGGGGGAGGGCCTAGGGCAGCAGCTGGGGGTGGTCCTCTGACAAGGTGGAGGGGCCAGCCTGCGGTGGGTCCCACAAGAGAGTGGTCTTGCAGGGTGGCTTTGCATGGCTCTGGCAAAGATGTGTCTTGTCAGCCCCTGTGAGCAGGATGAAGACCCTAGCAGGGAGGTTTTCACATCATCTCTGTGTTCATGGATGCAGGACCGTGTGAAGGCAGAGGAGCTGATGGAGCAGGGGGCTGTGGAGCAGGACCAGACTGATGGAGAAGAACGTCAGAGGGCTGGTGGCCGTGGCAGAACCTCCTCAGAGCCTCCTGCTCCCAACAGCAGAGCCAGGCCCATGAGCCAGAGACACAAGCCTGGCTCAAATGGGACACAGCACTCCAAGGAGCTGCGGGCCAGAGATGAGCTCTGAGTACACAGGGCCCTTGGGGCAGGACTGGCACACACTGTGGCCTGGCAGCTCGCAGTGGCACCAGGACCACAGAGACCTGGAGCAGAGTCTTAGCATGCTAGAGATGTAGTGATGGGGGAGGGATGCAGCTTTCTTCTCTGTGGCATCCCAGCAGCTGAAAAATGGGAGTAAGGACAGAGTAATAAAGTCAGTGACACCTGGACCTTTCTTCACCGCCTCACCAACATGTTTGTGTCACTCAGAAGTAAGACGGCAAGTTCCCTTTGCCCCACCCTCCTCTCAGTACCAGCTTCTTGGTCATCCAAGGCTAAATCCAAAAGGAGGAGGGGCTTGGGGTCTTTCAGCAGGGGCCATCTCACATTCAGGATCTCGAAGCCTCTGAATTTCCTAGGAACCTGCAAACTCCAGAACCGTGCAGTTGGTCTGGGGGCGGGGAGATGGGGGACTGTGAATCTATGGAATAAAAGTGGAATGCTGGACAGAGCTGTTGGTGGGAGGTTGAGTCTGTACACCAGGAGGAAGACATACACACTAATTGCTGATGGAAGTTTAATGAATAAGTGATGAAAGGAGATTGAGCCCTCAGTGGAAGAAAAGAGAGTGGATGCCCAGGTACCAGCTACTTGCCATAAGAGAGAACAAGAGAACAAGTCAGCTCTGCCATGCCTAACCCCTGGAAAAGGTGGGAGTACCTTGAAGAAAAACTGTGCTCACATTTCCCTGCAGCAAGGTATCTTTTCCCCTTCTCCTCCCCTTTTTTTTTATTCCCCCTCTCCATGCACCAAATTGCCCCTGGGAGCAGAAGAGGTTTTTTGTTTATCATTTTCCTCCCTGTTACAAACACAATCTGCTGTCACTGCCCAGGGGATTAGTGTCCCAAGATAGGATTATATTGTTGCCAAACAGGAATTGAATGGGTTGGATATGGAGTATGAAAAAGAGCAGTGACCCTTTTCCTGGGAAGCATTAGAACCAGAGATCAATCTGTGGTCATGACATCTAGAGGCCTTGAGGAGAGTTGTACATGGAGCCCCCAGGTACAGCTGAGGTGGAAGAAGTCCTTGGGGCCAATGGTGTAAGAGGTTGGTGGGTGAGCTCCTCGTTGCTGTTAGCCCTTGCTCTGTGGAAATGGGAGTCCATCCTCAGTCTGAATCCCAGCAATTCCTTACCATACAAGCTTGGGAAACCTGCACTGGCAACCCTTTTTGCCTCCTGTCCTCCCCCTGGTCGCAGGGAGAAGACAGCTTGATGTGTGCAGCTCCAATTCCCTCACACGTCCATCCCAGTCAGTGATTTAGGTGGGGGTGCTGGATGGTTCCTGCTCCCGAAGACAGGTGGGGGGGTGAGAGGTCAGTGTCCACCCCTCTGGCTTGCTGTGCCCAAAGGTGGCTTGGGTGATTAGACTGATGGCCTCCTGACGTCAGATGAGATCCGTTAAAAGGTATTTATCCAGGGCTTGGGCCAAAGCTGCGGGAGAGATTAAAGGAGATTGAGGCCAAGATAATCCCCTCACAGCATCCCTCTAAAGTGGCTGCCAAAAGGCACGCCACCAAATCTTCTGCCACTCCTGGCCCCTGGGTCCTGTTCTGGGTTCCACATGCAGAGCCCAGTTTGGTGCCCAGAGAGGGTGTGACCCCAGCTCTGCCATGAGTTTTCCCTTGGCAGGGCCACCGTCAGTGGCACCATCCCTCTTCCCACCCTGCCCGGGACACAAGTGGCACACTGTCCCTGGGAAAGTGGGGATTCCTGTGGTCTGTGAGGTGCAGCAAACCCTGCCCTAGTGGCTCATAATCCTAGCCTGTTTGGGCTAATCTTCACTTTATTAGTTGGTTGCTGATACAAACAGGGTGAAATCCGCCTGGGAGGGTTTCTTTCCCTCCAGGAGCAGCGTGCTACTCTCTCTTTTCACCCCTCCCCACCCACCTGCTTTGCATTACATCCCAATCCGATTTCCCCAAGTCTCTGGTGTCTGATTTAATTTGCCTGACGCTGCTTCTGAAAATCAGCCCTCCCCCAACCCCTCCCGTCCACAGCCTTCCTGCTCCCCATGGGGAGATCAGTCCTGGGAGAAGCTGAGGAGCAGAGGGAGCAAAGGACTCGCCGGGTGGACAGGCAGGAGTGAGTGGAGACCAGACAGGGGCTTCTGCCATTCTCCGCGGGGCAGGCAGGCTGCGAGGGTCTCACCCAGGGAGGCTGCAACTCACCCCTCTCTACAGATCCGGGTAAGGATGCTGACTTGTTGTCATGCCTCGGGTCACCTTGGTGGGCCTGGCCCTTGGGACCCTGGGCTTCTTGGAGCGATGCTGTGAGGAGTCTTTGGCCATGGACTGATCCCATCGGAAGGTGTGGGAGGGCGGGTCATGGTGGGGAAAGGGTGGGGGCCAGCGCTGGGGTATCTTGATGGTGTTGAGGGGCTTTGTACTGGGATGGGGCTGCTTGTTCTCCCCTTGGCGGGTAAACCTCACCAGTTTCCAGACTGGAACAGGAGGGTCGTGCCTCCCCAGAGAGACCTGGCGCTCACCAGCTGTGCCCAGTGCCACGCTGTGGGGGTGCCCCTGCCCACACCTGGTTGCAGCTGGTTCCCTGCACGTCCAGCTGCTTTTCTGGGTGGAGAAGGAGCCCTCAGACAGCAAGGAGCAGAGCAGGGTAATTTTACCCCAGTCTTTGATCTCCATCACAGAAGAGGGGGATCATCTTCTGTATCCGGCTCTCCGAGGAGCCCAGGGTCACCAGGGCGAGCGTGCAAGGCCAGCCAGGGATTACACAGGGACCCAGGGATGCTGCTTATTAATACTCAGTCCTCCTTCCTGCACCTTTCCCTTTCCTACTTACAGTGCCTGCAGAGGGACCCTCCCCACTGTGGGGGAAGCTGCCTGGAGGATAGAAAATATGCAGGGGGTTCATCTCCCCTTTCTTCCCACCCATCACCCACCAGGGGCTGATGCAGGTGGCTCAGCAGGACAGTCTCCTGGGGTGCAGGCTGCTCCACATGGGCATGGTGCAAGGAGCACAGCCTTAAAGGTCACGGTGCAGTATCAGGAGGCAGGTGGATGATGCCAGACCCCTCCCAGCCTTGTGCCACGTTTGGTCTGCTATAAGCAGACACCCGAGAGCTCAGGATGGGTCTGGGTGCCCACAAATAGGAGTGCTACAGTGGGTGCCTCCAGCAAGCTTGTCAGGAAGGGCAGGTTGACAAAGAACTGTCATGTTGGACAGCAGAAGAAATAAAACGTGGTTTCAGAAGCCAAGAACTGTGAAGGGGATGAGCCCAGCCGAGGCCTCAGAAGAGGGCTGGCATGAACTGATTAAGCTCAGGCTCCTGGTTGGCTCTGCCATCCTCCTCAGTGGTGCTTGCAGGAAGCACAGCTCTGTGGATCAGTGTTGGTGCCCAGGTCCTCCTGTCAGTAGCTCTTTGTCATGCTGGGGTGCTGGTGGCAAACTGCTTTTTCAAAGGTACCTCAGGACTCTGTTTCCTCTGCTGCTTAGTATCCACCTGAAAGAGCCCTTAGTTCCAGAAGGCACTGAGCATGCACCTGTAGTTGCCTTTCCTGTTAAACCCAAGCTGGTCAGCTCCCGTAAGCAATTGTGAGCTGGTCCATGGATCAGCAAGAAACATGCAAACCTAAGGTCCCACTGGTTCCACTAGGAGGAGCGTGCCTTGGCCACACTCCAAACTCCCTTCCCCTTTCCTCTGCTCTTCCCCCATTTCCTGTCCTGAATTTACATGCCCACGATGGGCTGTTCTTTTGCACACCTGCCATGGGCCTCCTGAGTGGCTGCTGGGGACCAGGTAACTCACCACAAATTGCAGCAGGATGTGATGTGTGGGGGCGACAGGGGAAGCTGGAGCTATTATTATCACTCCTTGTCCTTCTGAGGCTGAGAACAATTCCCAACTTCATTTAGAGTGCTCCCTCTGAGGGATTTAAAGGTTCGGACAGAGCCCTGAACCTGAGCTGCACCTTCTCTATATTTAGCCCTTTTGATCCGTCCTCAACAGATCTGCCTTCCGGCTCTGAAAGCCCCTTATCTGGGTGTGCAACTTCACCTGGCAGGTATCTGTGAACTGGCACTCCTCTGCTAGTGCCAGAGTTGAAAAGAAACACCCAGAGAAGGGAAGAGAATGGGGAAAAAAAGCCAGGAGAGGTGTAAGAAAGACTGAGCAGCTGCTGCGTGTTGAGCAGGGTGTGTGGAGCCAGCTCTGCCTGGGCCAGGGATTGGAAGGAGCAGAGAACAAGGCTCCCACCTCCATGCAGATCTGGGTGGGCAAAAGCAGAAGTCCATAAAGCCAGAGTAGGACGTATGGATGGACAGTGACCTCAGATGGCCAAAGGTGTGTGAGATGACAGTTTGGAGCGCCTGGGGGCCAAGCAGAGGAGACTGAAAGGAGAGAGTGAGAGGGAAGAGGTGGCCCAGCAGGAAAACACCCCTAAGGGTTGATGGAGGAGACGTAGGATCAGTCCTGAGTAAAAGTAAGAAAGGGGAAGGTGTGGGGTACAATGGCTGGTCTCTGCAGGGTGGCTGGAAGCCCAGGTTTGCCACTTGGTGTGCTGGGAGGTAGTGCTGGACACTGTCCCCAGAGCTCGACTGCACCAAAGCTGAGGGACAAACGCCGCAGAGTGAGGAGGATGTGCAACCTCCAGCTGAAAGATATGAGGCCTTCCCAGCATCTCCCCAGCCTTGTTCCTCAGCTGGTGGGTGGGGTGGGGTGCCCAGCCCCTCCTGAAAGGAGGAGAAGTGCATGCAGGTGTTTCTGTGTAGCCAGCGTGACTCAAGCAGGTGCAGCTCTGCATCCCTGCTGGGAAGAAACCCCTCCCCACCGTTCTGTCAAAGTGTGAGAAGGAAAAAAAAAAAAGGGTCCACCTCAGGTGCTGGTCTGTCCTGTTCCTTCAGCATGGCTGAGCTGGAAGCCCTGGGACACTGCTCTAGCACCTGCCTCAGAGGCTCCAAGGCTCTCTCTGCTCCCTCCCTGGGGGTGCTGGGGCCAGTGGAACAGCAGC